CTAAAATGGAACCAAACGATATGAAAGAGTGAAATCAGCATATAGTGCAAATCCTTATACATTAAAAAAAATATGGATAATAATTTTTGGTCTTTTCTTAGAGGTTCCAAGGCTTAAAAAGGAAGGAGGAGAATTAGAATGAGATCAAAGAGCATCAAGGGAGAAGAAAAAAAATAAAAAGAAAAGAAAAGAGTGAAGCAAAAATAAAATTTAAATAGAACATCTGAGGAACTATTTAAAAAAATAAAACTAAAGAAGAAACGAGAGAACATTAGAGAAAGGAAGAGAAAAACAAAAATAACAAAAAATAAAGGAAAGATGGAGCATAAGAAGAAGAGAGCGTAAACAGAAAAGAAAAATAAATAAATAAAAGAACAGAGAAAAAACAAGAACAAAAAATTAGAAAGGATATTAAAGAACAAAATTGACCAAAAAGATACAATCAAGACAAATTGTGTTGAAATGTCACAAAAAATCATCATAGAAGCTAATTCCAAACTTATAAATCTAAAAATAACAATTTTGAATACAACTGTTAGAAAATAAAATTGTCATTAAGACATTTATTATGAACCCAATATTTATGTTAGACAAAGTCTCTCTACGTTACCATCATTAACATCATTTTCACAAGCTTGATACCTAATCTTAATTCCAGTTGGTTCATATACTCTAAAAACTCTAAATTCTCCTAGTTGGTTTTATTTTATTTATTTACTATAAGTTAAGTTATTAAATTATCTTTTAGTAACTTTTAATAATATAAGAACTTTTAATCTTAAAAATATCTTAAGATATTAATTTCTCACATGTTCAGTCATGTAAAAGCTTCAAACTTTCCCAATCACTTTTACCTTTATTTGTTTTATTAATTATTTTAATATTTAAATGATTAGATTAACTTTGGGATACTTTTTTTTTTGTTGATTTTGTTGGTTACTTTAAGGTAAATAAAAAAATAAAAAAAATAGATTTTTTTACCCATGTTTAATTTTTTTTATTATTTATATTACTTATTTTAGTAAAAAAAAAATTAATCACTCATTTTATTTAAATAGCAATAACAATAATAAAAATAATAAAACAAAAGAATTTATTAATTTAAAAAATTTTAAAATAATGCATCTATTTTTACTTTGATTTTATTTTGATCTTTCAGTGTTATCTTTTTTTTATATATTGTATATATTTATTAATTTTTAGAATTTGATTCTGAGTTATTATTATCATTGGTTGATTCTCTTTTGTCAATATAAATAATATTGATAAAGATAGAACTAACATTAAAGATTCAATTTCTCATTATAATTTTATGCTATTTTATTTTTTTTAGTTTAGTTATTTATTTATTTATTAGTTTAGTAGTATTATTTTTAATGTAAAAAGTGAATATATATATATATATATATATATATGTTTTCTTTTAAAATTAAAATAAAATTATACTAAATTAATAAATAAAACACATGCAATGATTTATTAATGTTAATGTATAGCTTCTTTATTGTCATGCATTCCAATTTGTTATAGTATATATATATGTACCAACGTTATCTTAGATTTAAGACCTTTAATGTATTTAAAATTTAAAATTTGACTTATCAACAGAAGCAATGGAAGAGAGGAAAAAAGCATATTGTCGCTTGCAAATAAAGATTATAAGAAGTACACCTCTTTTTTAGTACTACAGAGCATGAAATTTTAAAGAAAGTTAAATAAGCAATTTCACTTTCAAGTTGCCTTTTTGATAGAGTGCAATCCTATGTCCAATATTTAAATATGAGTGTTTGATTTTTCTTCACCTTTTATACTATTTATCGTAGTATAATATGTATAGTTATTCTATCTTATATGCTAAACATCATAATTTTATAAAAATAATTTTAATATTAAAATAGTTCTCTTTTCTTGAAATTTGGATAAACAATTTTTTTTTCATAATATTTTAAATAGAACTATGTGACTGTGGATTCTCTATTACTACTAGAAATATGTAGGAGCAAGAATCGGACGTATTAAGATAAAATAATTTTTACTCAATTTTAAGATCAATTAACAATTATATTGTGGACACTTCACACTACCATCTTCTAAATGTTGCAAGAGCACTTTATTTCTAGTCTAGGGTTGCTATCTCATTCTTGAATAAATGCATTCAAATTATTGCTTTCATCATCAATAGAACACACCATCTTCTATATTGCACTTACAGTCATCTTATCAAATTATTTACAATAAGGACTCTAAGCACTTTGATCTAAAAAATTCCAGCTGCTTAGCACATGCTTCAACACTTCCTTCGCAAAGAAATAAATCTCTCCTAAGGCAATTCTATTAGTCTTTGTTTGATACCCTTTAAGTTACAAGAGTTACAGACTATGCAACCTCATCACCATAACTATTTTCATATTTAGCAATGTGATATTTCATGAAGATGCATTTTCTTTTCATATGGCCTTCCACTTTACTCAACCTATTGACCCATTTCTTGATATTTGTTGTCCTAAAATTATCACAGACTCCACTCTACTGATTTGATTCTTATTAGAGGTACTTATTACAACTACAAAACCTACTATTCACCTTATCTTTGAAAATTCAAACTCCAATACTTCTATTTTCACTTCATCTCATTCTACACATCTAATTCTTATCCACCAATAGTTAGGAGATCAACAAGAACCACTAAATAACCTTACTGCTTAACTGAGTACCTATGCAATCAAATCTAGTAAAATTTCTATGAATCCTAATTTGCAACTTAACATTCATGACAATCAACCTTTTAAAGATCGTGCTCAATACAAAATACTTCTAGGCAAACTTATCTATCTAACCATTTCCTAGTCTAACATTTATTATGTAGTAAATTAATTAAGTTAATTTATGCTTAAACCTATCTCTTATCATCTAGATGTTGTTCATTATTTTCATATAACTAAAGGCAACCCTTGATTAAGGAATCATTTTTTTCTAATAATTCTAATCTCATCCTGAAGGCATGTGCAGATTCAAACTGTAATGATTATCTTAACTCCAAAAGATCTACAAGTGGATATTGTGTGTTTTTTAATTCATCTCTTATATCTTGGAAGTCTAAGAAACAAAATATTGTTTCTAGATCATTAGTTTAGACTAAAATCAAATCCATGTTTGGCTAATGCTACTAATGATGTCACTTGGTTAATTGTCTTATTAAAAAATTTTAAAGTTCATATTAGTCCTACCTTCTTATTTTGTAACAACTAGCTTGTCATCCATATTACATCAAATCCTATTTACCATAAAAGAACTAAGTACATCAAAATTGATTATCACTTCATTTGAGAAAGAGTTGACAATGATAAATACATCCACCAACTTGGAGATTTGCTAACCAAGCATCTTCATCAATTTGTTTTTGGTACATATTCTCTAGAATGGGTTTCAATAACATTTATGTCCCATCTTAAAATAGAATATTAACTATAATTAGTTACTTAAAAAAATAGTTTAACATTTTTGTAATTTATCACACATCACATTCTTCTAAAGCAATATACTTCTTGTAAGTCTTCTTGCACACTTGAATAAAAAGAGTAGAAATTCAGTTCTTTCTCTTTCTTTGTCATTTAGTTTTATATTCTCATGATACATTGAGGATGAATATGCTTCAAGGAGAAATTACTTAGATGATATTATGAATATTCTCATAATATTTGGTTTCTGTATTTTCGCTTTTCAGCAACGCACATAGAATGTTAGTAAAATGGAATATGATCTTTGCTAAAACTTGTAAATATGAAGTTGGTGTGACTTCAAATAGAAGTATAGATCTGAGAGCAGTCAACACTAGCGATTTCTACTAATCACTATCTAAGTTAACACTCTAAAAACTTATTTCTGACGGAGTACATGTGGGTTGGTGAATCGGCCAACTAGCCTATTAAAGTAATATATTAGATTATATAAGCGAACAAACATTCACAAAAAAAAAAAAGCAAACAAACTCAGCTGAACTTCAAGAAAACTGATGATTTAGACGATCATCTATGAACTAACGTGTCAAACTCACGCATATGTTAGAAGAAGATTTTTGCCAAAATGAAAACCTCTTCATATGTAATAAGGTTGATTTTTCATCATTGATTTTTTCTTCTCTATGTAAAGCATTTGTCTGTTCTCCAAAGCTTTGGCCTTTGTGTCAACCCTTGGAAGTCATCTTTCTTCTATTATGTCGTCCTTACGAAGTAGCACGTTATGCTGACTAGAATGGGAAAGGAGTTTACACCCAAAAAAAAAAATGTAAAAGCAATATGTTGAAAAAATTGTTATTTTTCAATTGAAGCAATTAAGGAAATGTTTTTTCTTAGAAGAAGAATCTTCTTACACAAGTGTATGCTAAAAACTCGTAGATTCAATTTAAGCCTTTCATTTAACTTAAATCTAACGACCAGTGAAATAATAAATTATAACTCGTTAAATTTAAATTAAATAAAAGGTTGTGTAAGAGTTTTTAAACTTGCACCTACACCAGTATAAGAAAATCCCACCCCTTTTGATCAAATAAAGAAATTAATTTTCTTTTTTTATTATTCCAATTTCTTTAATTCTTTTCTTCTTAATTTCACTTAAACAAACACAGTATAACTATTATATTAATAAAATGTAACGTTGATTATTTGTTAAATAGAATAATTTTGACAAGTTAGAAATTTAAGGAAATAAATTCCAACATTTTTATTTTATTTATTAATTTTTTTAATATTTATTTTTTAAATTATTTAGTATTAATTTTAATTAAAAAATTATTATATTTTACATCACATTTTTGTATAATTTTAAAAAAATATTATCTTTAATCTTTAAAAATAAGTATTTGAATATAATAAATATTTTTTAACAGAATTTATTATTTTCAAATGCTTGAATTTTTAATAAAATTCTAAAATTTATTATTTCAAATTATTTAAAATCAACCTTAGTGCAGTTAACATTTTTTTGTAGTCCTTTTATCTTCATTCTTCAGTTTGGGTAGCCTCCAGTCCTTTGGGAAGCAGCTTTCAACTCATCTGCAACTGCAAGGAAGAGCGTGGAAAACACGCGTTCTCAGACATGGCTACGAAAAATCCGTCGTTCAAGGTTTGAGGCATTTCCCGTTTGTACCTCGTTTTCCCACTCATATTCCGATGCATGAAATGAAAATATCCACCAACTCGGCACCATAAACGGTGCAAAATTTATTTCACTTCCACAATACTATAGTAATATATTTGTTATTATCGATAAATAAATGAATAACCGAATAAATCTTAAGAACTCTATCTTCATTTCTTACAACTTCTTAATGGATGCATTATTATATTATTGCAATTTCGCATCGCAATGTCCTTTTGTGTAATTGACTACTACCCTGTCTTGTATTGTCTTTAATTTTTATTTATTTTAAGGAAGTGATTGAGAAAATTAATAATCTAATTATTTTAATCAATGTGTGGGTTTTTGTCTTGGAACAGATAATTCTGGGCTCTTCTTCGAAGGCTCGCAGACAGATTCTTGCTGAGATGGGATACGAGTTCACAATAATGGTATGTGTTATAACTGTTTGCTTGAAACTTGTTACTATAATTCATTTGTATGATGAAAGATTGAAAGAGTTTGGCGTGGCTTAAATTTAGACTGCAGACATTGATGAGAAAGGTATTAGGAGGGAAAAGCCAGAAGATTTGGTAATGGCATTGGCAGAGGCAAAGGTGTGAATTTCTTGGTTTCCTCTTATTTATCTTTTTATTCTATTTTATTTTTGTGGGTACAGACTAAATTCCTCTTAGGCTGCTGTAGGATAAGATTGAGCCCAGGAACAGCTTTTTTCTCATATTTGAAAAGAAAAGTTAAAATTTATGTACGCCATCTTACCTAGTGACATAACTCAAGAAAGGCTTTTGTTGTTGTTGGAAAAAATAAATAAATAAATAAATAAAATATATATATATATATATATATATATATAGATGGAAAAGAAAGCTGTAGAAACAAGAAAGGTGAGTGTGGTAATTTGAAGGGAAGGAGTAGGTAATATAAAAGGACAGAAAAATTTTCCACATCAAAGTCCCTATCACTTCAGTAATGTAGAGCATTTGACAGCTATAGCTTTCTGTGGCTGGTAAATTATTATGCATTAAAAGGTGAAAAATAGGGTGAGGTGTGGAGATGGAGTGGGTTAATCATGAAATTATTTTGATTTTTTCTACTTGTTTTTGACTAATGGGTAGCTACAGAAATTATTAAAATTTGTGAGGATGAAAGTGTAGATGAGTTGCATTCTAGATTCGACCTTTCTAAATCTTCTGTAACAAGTTTGATGGAACATTCATTCTGAAGATTAATATCCTTAAGCAAGTACATCCTTGAGCATGAGAGCCAGTTGAAACACAAGACCATATCTTTTCTTAATTTCTTAAGGTCTTTGCATCTGATTGTTGTGACTGAATGCAGAAGAATTTCAGGTTGTCATGTCCCCACCTAGAAACTTCCTCTCAAAAGCTAAATAAATCATAGAATGGAAAAAATATAACATAAAATTGAGAGGCTCCACGAGCCATGTGAAATTCTCCTCATATATTGATTGTTCCAAGTTACATTTAGTGTTCTAACCTTGATATTCTTGTTAGGCTGATGCTATTGTGCAAAGGCTCCGTGCTGGAGGTCCATTGGAGGAAGATGCTTCTACAAGACTGTTAATTACTGCAGACACTGTATGCCTTATTCTTTTTGTCTTTACCTATTGTTTATTTCAACTGAATCATGGATGAGAAATTACTGCTAACTTATCTACTTATGCATAAAGCAGAAAGGCATGGCTTATGTTTTCCTTTTGCAGATAATATCTGTGTTACTCTATCTCTGTTCCAGGTTCTAAAAACTTAGCCTTACTTATACAGTTGTTCATCTTAGCTCACATTCTCATTGTTAGTAGAGAAAAGAAAGAAACACAGGTGGGAGAAAAGTAAGGAATCCTCCTTACTGGAAGCTTATAGATGTTCCTAAGCTATGGGCTTCCCTCTACTTTTTGGTATATGAAACAGATTAGTTATTTGGAGAAAGATAACACAAATTAAAGCAGATGAACCCACTGAAAACATAAATCAAACTTATTTGTGCCTTGCATATGTTAACCTTCTTGAATTCAAATTCCATTTTATTGCAAACCAGGCTAAAGATATCACACTACTTTTTAGTTAAACATTTTGCATTTGCTGTCACCATATTTTCTACATTTTACATTCTATATGTTCTTGCTTGAACTTTAAGTTACAATCTGAATTCTATATGATCAGTGGCCTTGTACTGATTTTCTTTTCTTTAAAGTCTAGAATTTTGTAAGACTGTTTGTGTTGCTGCAAATATTTTGTAGGTTGTGGTGTATCGAGGAACAATCAGGGAAAAACCAACTAGTGAAAAAGAAGCACGGGAATTCATAAAAGGTTTGCATGATGGATTGTAGTTCATCCTTTTCTTGTTGCAGTTATTGGCAGATATAACAACCACATTCACAAATTTGAAAATTTGCAGGATATTCTGGTAGTCATGCAGCAGTGGTAGGATCTGTTGTGGTAACTAACCTCATGACTGGAAAACGTTGTGGAGGATGGGACAGTGCAGAGGTACGAGCTGCTGCTGCTTGATCTTATGTGTATATAGTGTACGAAGCAGATTATTAGGAAGATAAGTAAGAGGATATTGTAAAGCTCATTCAATATTCCTCTTGACAGATAACTTGCCTAACATTTGTGACTATTATGACAGGTTTACTTCCTTGAAATTCCAGATGCGGTCATTGATAATCTGGTAAACATTTTATAAGTACACTTTTCACCCTTGCACTGAACCAAGTACGAAGGTGAAAAGAGTACTTTAACCGGTTTTCTCAAAACATGTGATCTCTCGAAAATTTCTTTCAGGAAATTCCTGTGAACCTGAATACTATGAGTTTTCTTATTTGATGAGAGCTTCTCAGATTGACGAGGGAATCACATTCAACGTTGCCGGGGGTTTGATGCTGGAACATCCATTGACTTTACCCTTTGTGGATGCAGTGGTTAGTTATCTTCCTTTCTAAGCAACACTACAAGCTCATTCAGAATATCTCATTCCTTGTACTGTGTGAAGCCATATGGAACCGTTAGCTTCAAAACAACTCATGATAAGCACTGCTTTCATACCTTTTTTCTTGGGCTCCGTTATTAAGATTTTGTTATATCATTTGCTATTATTTGGAGGCTTTTTTTTTTATATCTGCAAGAAGTGAACATTTGTAGCTTTTGCCTTAATTCATTTTTTCACGCATCGATGCCAATGGAGTTAATTTTATGATTATAGATAAGCAAGATATTAAAATGTTTGTTAAATATGGATTAACAAAATGAGCTGTGTGATGGTTGTGGTAGGTTGGGTCAACTGATACAGTGATGGGACTTTCCAAAGATCTTACAGAGAAACTCTTACTGGAAGCTCTATAACTGCTGCTAAAGTAAAAATTATATTCTGATCGACGCCATGTGCTGGCTGACGGCAAACATTACTTCAATTATACAGTTTTTGTTTGCATCCGATTCATGTAAAACAAATACAAATTACATACGAGAATACCTGAGACTTACTACTTACTGATTATTGTTTTGTCACGAGCTAAAATGAAAAGGCCTTGTTATTTAACTTTTGTGTTTCATTTCCAGTCTTGCGTGCATGAATGATTGATTGGTCATGTCAGTTCTTGCGACTTGTTGAAATGGTAGATTGGGATGTGCTGTATTAAATTATTTTAAATTTAGTATATTAATTTTTTGTTTTACTTCCATAAATATTATAGTCTTTTTATTTATGAATAATAAATTCGTTTCTATTTTTTTCCTTCAAACACTTTCCTAAAAATGACTTGCAATGGCAGGTACAAGTTTTATAATTTCCAGCGCATGTTTTGCTGTGTTAATTACTTTGTCTAGTTTTTTTATATAAGAAATAATAAGTATTTTCCTTAATTATAAAAAATAAAAAATCATTTAAAACATATTAATTATTGAATTTTTTTATATTATTTATTAAGATTAATGTAAACAAAACACTCACTTATTATTTTTATATATAGAGCTAATTTTTTTTTACACTAATATAACTTTAAAAACTTACACTTTGATCTGAATTTTTTATATTTAACTTATATTTAATGTGTTATAATTTATTATTTTATTAACTGTTATATATAAATTAAATGAAAGACTTAAATCGAATGTAAAATTTTTTAAATTTACACTGACATGATAAAATTCTTTCCCCTGTATATTTAATGAATGAGTTACTGGTTTTATCATTTACTATTATAGATTTTTTATAATACACTGTAAATTTACAAAGTATAATTACTTTTTATTAGTTTTAATAAATTAATTATTTCTTTCTTAAAAGTGCGAAAAAAGTTTAAGAGTGCACAAGCTAACCCGTAAGCGTTCAAACATTGACGCATACAGATGCGGCAACCAAACATACTCTTAGACTTTACCCTAAAAAATCCTGAAAAGGCACATTTTGCAAGTTATTAATTTTAATTCAATCCTGTTGCTTGCCATCACTTTTTTATTAGTATCTTTTACAGAATAAGTGGCGTGTTTCATTCTTCTAAAATCAGCAATCATCTCTTTTGGGTTACCAAGTTCCAGGTGATCATTTCCCTTTTTTCTTTTACAAATTCTCTCGACATATACATTTATTTCAGAATTCAATACAATTTCTTGCCGCAACCTCATGCAAAACGTTAAGAAATCTGCGGCCTAAAACCCCTCATTTCGGGGGCTTAGCCAAATTGATTTCACGAGAAACATTTCTTCCTTCGTGGGCATGGTGATGATCTTGAAAACACTTGAGAACTAACAGTTTTGCTCTTATAAAAAATAAGGACAATGAGACACCTGTCCTCGATCATTGTAGGAGTATTTAGGTTGTTTTGAATGCGAGATTTTAAAATTCTAACAAATATGAAAATAATATCAAAAGATGTTTAAAGTGAAAGTCAAATATAAGAGTTATAATAATAAATATAAAAAGTTAAACATCATTAAAAAAAAAATTAAACTTTCTCTAAAAATAAGTCATTTAAAATTTTTTCTAATTAAAATAAAAATTATCAATTTAAAATTTTGTTGAATTTTAAAATTACATTTTCCTAGTATCCAAATACATAAGTTGTATGAATTTTAAAATGCCCTATCCAAACACAGCTTTTTTCAATTATCTAGTTAAGGAAAAGCTGATAGACACACTCATATGATCCCACAAACCGGAGTCTTGTATTTTCTTCTACTACCCAATTTCATTTTCACAAAAGAAACCTTATATTAACTATTTCACTCACTATACTACAAAGGGAGAAAAAAAATACCGTTTGGAACATCTCATTGATGCAGAGCCTCACCTTCCATAGACAGCATATTAGGTTTACGAATGCTCTTCAAAGTTTGAACCATGTCATGAATAATGACAAAACAATCATTAGTCAAGCATGTAGATTCTAGAGGCTATGTCTTGGACCAACCAATCAAATCCCTCAAGCAGACCCTCACCAGTGTGTGCACTACAACCAACTATTTTCCAGTGCCGAGATTTATCCATGGCTTCCAAGTTCATCACCTGAAAAATTGAGCATATTAGGAAACCCAACCTTAAAAACAATTATATATTAAACTAGGGTTAAAAAGCTTGACTCCTTGTCACTAAGATATCTCAGAATTCAACTTGTGTTATTTATTATTTTTATTCATTTTTCTTACACTTAGCTTCCCCTTGTTCCTAAAGTTATGTAAAATTTCAGGTTTTGCAATACATATAAACTTCTTGAGCACTTCAAACTTAAATGGAACCCAAACTTCCAAAATTCAGTTCAAAGCTATTGAAACATTACTCCAAGGATTTGCTTTCATGCTTCTCTTAAGCTTTGTTTGGAAGTTAATTTTAGAGGGAAAAAAAAGAAGAAAGTAGAAGATTTATTAGATAATAATAATTATTTGAGAGATTTTAAATGTAAGGAAGTGCTTTTATAAATCCTTAAAAACTATTATAAACTCATGATTTAAAGCTTTTCTTTAGGAGTTTAAGGGAACGGGAAGGAAAGGGAGCTTTGAAGGCCACCTAAAAACTCCCCAATATCCCTTCCACTCATTTTAAAATCTTACAAACAAGGAAAGGACTCCTAAAAGCCTTTCTTTCTCTTCCTTTCCCTCCTAAATTAAACTTGCAAACAAAGCCTTAAGTTTCTCAAAATTGAAGTTTTTTTTTTTTGTAAACCCTCCTTCTCCCTTCCTTCTCCTCTCCTTCCTAATCTCTCAAATCCTTTCCTTACTCTCCCTCCAAACTCTCCAATAAAAAAACTTTTATTCTGGGTTTCCAAATTTTATCAGATGAATGAACTATTTTAGTTGTGTGGCTTTATTTTGTAAATGTCTACCTCCAACATATTTCTCTAAAGGCCCTAAACTACATAAATGTACACATTTTCATGATGTTATACCAAGAAACAACATTGACGATTAGCTGCCTAAGTTGAGCAAAGCGAAATCCACCAGCATATGTCTTAACTAAAAAAGAAAGGTGCAATATCTTGACTAATTACTGGCATAGGTAGCTTTGTTTCAGTGAAAGCAACATTTCCCACAGAAACCCTCCAAAAAAATGTATCCCAAGGGAAGACAGTGCCATGTAATCCTAGTGTAATGTAACAGTAGAAACATGATGATGCTTATAAAATAAAGATAAGTAAAATTGCAAGTTAATCGGCTTAGGTTACATGAATTTATTTTATTAATCAAGGCATTGAATCAAGTATGATATATAAACCGATATATCAAAATCATATAATTATTGAACTTTACATGAAATTTACTGCCTTCAATGAGCATTGTTTGAAGACTAATGTTATTGTAACAACACCTTCCGAAAACATCTTTTACAACAATAAAAGAGACAGGAAAAGATAATTAAATCACAGATCAGCTAATAAGATGATGCTCTTTAAATATAGTATTGGGTAAAACGTAGAAACCTAAATATTGTTGATATTACAAACAATATAAGATTAGTTGAACGACTATGCTCCCCAATCCCATTCCCCCATATATACACCAAGCCAAAGTTCAGTGCAAGAAAGGATTATTATGTGAAAATTGTAGTAGAAAGATTTCAGCAGGTGGAATATTTGGCATTATAATGACTATCATAACTATTTATGGTTGGTAATATAAATTCACTGATTGAGACTGGATTGCCGCTCTCTCCATGAGTAGTTAAGTAGGTAATCATTTAAGAATTATAACAATTAAGAGAACTATCAGTAAAAGGTCCATCTAGCAAAAGGCATTGATTCTTTCACCATTAAGGATGGCAAAATATGAACATATGTGTTTTTTTTTAGCCATAGTTCGTAGAAATATAATGTTAGCTAGATTAAGGAAAAAAATCCACCCTCCCACCCAAAAAAAAAAAAAAGACATACAAAAAGAAATGGATCAACCTTAGCTATTTCTTCAGGTGTAAGGGCGCCTTTAATGTCCTGTTTATTTGCCAGGATCAGTAAGGATGCTCCAGATAGCCTCTGTCACATGAAATTAAAAACTAATGAGATTTGAGAATGGTAGTAGTTGAGAAACACTCAAAGAAGAAAAAAGACAACCATAATTACTTGAGCATTCCAAATTAGTAACAATGAGAAATACTTAAAGATGGTTTTAGTATAACAAAAAACAAATTTTCAAGCGTTAGAGAAGCAAGTAATTATAACTGCACCAGTACTAATATTAAAAATACTTCATCTATGTAGTAATAAAGTTATCACAAGGAAAGGAAAGCAACTGCCAATGGAATAAACAGGATTTGATGTCCTGAATCGACCAAAGGCATTGGTTCATGACCAAAATTCCTTAAGCATTCACTTTCATGCAACTACTATGCTTCAGATACATTAGCACAAAGGATAAAGAGGTTTATGCCAATCAATTGATCCAAAAAAAGGAAATGAATTGATTAGTCTCCAAAAACTGACTGAATATCTTCAGCATGTACAACATGTAAGCAATATGTTAGGTGAATAAGTAACAACCAGTAACCATTTGGATTGAACATACATACCTCTTCCTTTAGAAGGTTATCTAGCTCCATTTTGCAATCATCTAACCTTCTCAGATCAGAACTGTCGACTACCCAAACCAAACCATCTGTTTGCTCAAAGTAGTTTCTCCAGTAAGATCTTATTGTCTTTTGGCCTCCAACATCCCATATATTTAGAGTGTACCTGCCATTGTCAATGTGAACATTCAAGAACACAGTAAATCACTGTAAGATACTCACTAAAGCAACACAACGAAATGAAGCGTTATGTGGTGTAACTGTAACGCGGAATTACAATTTATAAGCCAAAAGGACTTTAACAAAATTCAAAAATCAAAATTTTCATGTTCTAGAATACACCAAAACCAAATCTAGCGTGTGATTGAAAACACATTGAAAAACCTATAAACGCCAATCTAACACAATAGTTATAAGTATTAAGGTTGAAGTAAACGCGGATCCATCACCGTTCAAATGTAAATCTAAATACCGAGAACTAAGATCCTAATTTGTCCAACTAGTGTTAAATGTGTATCACCACTCACTGACTGGTGGCTTTTCTGTTCAAATATTTCTAACATTAAATTAAATATTACATGATAAGTAACATTATTAGCAATAGGTTAAAAAGAAAAATAATAAAACGGATATTATTTTAGTACAGCTATGCACAGTGTTTAGTGTAGTGGAACGAGAAGGGGAGGGAAGTTTCACTTTTGGTAAGTTATGGTTTTAATGTTAAAGCCAAGGGTGGGGCTGATGACGCTAGTGTCCTCCCCGTTAATCTTCAAAACGATTGTCGTTTTCCCCGAATTGTCCAACCCGCTGCACAACCATCAACCGCATACAAATATTTTAATTGTTATTGTCGAAAAATCTAGAAAGTGAGAAACGGAATGGGAATTGCTTCTTACACCATAAGAATTCGCATTTCCTTCTCTTTCCTTTTGATTTTCCGAATAATGCTGAGAAGACCCATTGAGACAAGAGATCTTAACTTTCCGGAAAGCGGAGGGAGGGAAGAAGTAGAACAGAGATGCAGCGGTTACGATACTCAAGTATTTATCATAATACTGGGCCATGGCCCATGAGGCCCATCAGAAAACAACCTTATTTCCAGTAAGAAGCTGTTACGTGACAAAAACATACAGCTGAAGTATTTGGGCGACCATTCTGGTGAAATGTATTATTAAATACAAGGCCCAATTTATTAAGAATGTCAAGTTGTGTTCAGTTTATAAATGCTTATAAAGAAATTAGGAGTTTTTAAAAATTTAGGTGCATAAATTGATTTTAACATATGAAGAAAATTTTATTTTAATTTTTCTTTTGTATTTTTTAAGAAATCTCTTCTAAGAGATGTTTACTTATTTCCAATAACATAATCAGTGGAAAAATTCTTGTGTTTTTTTTTATTATTAGGTTAAAAAAAATTTATGGGAATGAAGGGGAAGCCGAAATCTCTACTCTCTTAATGTAATTTAAACTTAAATGGATGGTCGATTGAATTGAGATATTGGGTGTGAGAGAGAAAGAAAATGAAAAATAGAGTTGTTAAAGTGAACTTTGACTGAGTGAATGCAGCCTACCCTGAATTTTTGGCGAATTGAGTTTTTTAAAAAATAACTCATATTTTTTAAGTATTTTTTACTTGCACCACCTCAACTTAGTAATAAATATAGGTTACCCTTACCCCGTAACAAATTAGTTTAACTCACTAGTTTTGTAATTTATTAATAATTTAAATTTAAAAATAATTTACGACTACGTATTCTTAAGTTTTAAAACCATTCTCCCTCTCTTTTTCATTATTACTTATATCTGACTATCATGCATTGTTGTGTATTGCATTTTACTGAGAGGACATACAAAAAGCCCAGCAAAGACGCTAAAGCCCACTCTAACTAAAACATTGCATAAAGAAAGTAAAATATGAGAGGCACCCATTGATCTAGAAGATTTTAAAGTAGAAACAACTATAAAAAAAATATTCAAATTGTAGAACCTTGTCTCAAACTTTAGCCCTCAAGATTCAATTGCAAAGGATATGACAATGCTAGTCGGCGATGAAGAGACCCAAAAAAGGAAAGAGAACCTTTACCATTCATGCCGATGACCTCTTCCACAGTTGGTTGAAATTTGGTTCAACCATTTTCTTAAGATTTTATTAGTTTTTTTTTTTTTTTTTTTGGTGTTCCAATCCAATATTAGTTTCACAACATATTCATTTAAATATCTTCACTGGATTGATTGATAGTTATTTCAATTTACTCGTCAATTCAATTTTTATGACACTAGTTAGTTTCTGAAAGAATATTAGCGGTACTTTAAAATCTAATTTTTTGAAAGAATGAGAACATGATGTATTGTATATATAAAAAATATATATCTAAAAGTTACAGTAAAATATACACTAAAAAATAATAATAAAATAATTCTAACTAATATTTGTATCCTAATACTCTTCTACAAACTTAGGTTCAGGTTTTGAAACAACTCTAAGTTTATATTGAAAATCAGAGAATTTGGTGTTAAAAATAGTTTTTGTAAGTCCATTAGCTGATAAAAATTGATGAACTGAGATTTACTTGTTAACAACCTTTTTTTGAACAAAATGTAAATCTAATTCAAAATATTTGGTTATGTTATGGAGTATTGGATTGGTTGAGAACTGAACAGTAGCAAAGTTATCACGGTAAAAAGCAAAACAAGTTTGTTGAATATTAAGTTCTCTTAGCAAAGATTGAATCCACAAATTTTCTATAATTGTAGAAGCAAGACACTATTACTCAGCCTCAATGCTTGATCAACTCATAACATGTTTCTTTGAAGACCAATTTATAAGATTGTCACCAAAGTATATGCAAAATCCTGAGGTTGATCTTCTATCATCTGGATTGATTCTCCAATCAGAATCACAATATGCAATCAAGTGAAAATTTGAGCATATTTTAAATTGTAAACCAAATTGTTGAGTTCCAACAAGGTATCTAAGTATGCCTTTGACAGCATTCAAATGAGTGTCCAAAGGATTGTACATGAATTAGCAAACATTGTTGACATAGAAGGTGATGTTTGGTCGTGTTATAGTAATATATTGTAGTGCTCCTACTATTAATCTATCCAGGATCATGAAAGCAAGTTTCTTGATGTGTAGAGAGTTTAAGACTGGAAATCATAGGTGTAGGCATGAGTTTGCAATATTTCATATTATCTCTCTTTAAGAGATCAGTAATACACTTTATTTGAGAGAGATAAAGAGTGCCTTTTGAACTTCTAACTACTTGAATGCCTAGAAAATACTAGAGTTGACCAAGATCATTTAGAGCAAATTTAAAATGAAGGGCTTCAATGATTTCTTGTATTTCTAATGAAGAACTTCTTGTTACTAAAATATCATCAACATAGACAATTATATATAGGGATGGTGTTTGATATAATTTGATGAAGAGTGAGTTATCACATTTGGCAGCATGGAATCCTAGGTGAACAAGAGTAGTATTAAGTTTTTCAAACCAAGCGCTTGGTGCTTGTTTAAGACCATAAATTGTCTTTGTCAATCTGGAAACTAGCTTTTGATTTCCAAGCATGAAACGTGGTGGTTGACTCATAAAAACCTCTTCTTGCAATTCTCTATTCAAGAAAGCATTGTTTACATCTAGCTGATAAATTTGTCATTTCTTAGACAGAGTAAGAGAAAGAATAACACGGATGATAATAGTTTTGACAACGGGATTGAATGTCTCAAAGTAATTAAATCCTTCCTTTTGGTGAAAACCTTTGGCCACGAATTTGGCTTTGTATTTTTGTATTGAGCCATCTGCATTGTACTTGGTTTGAAATACCCATTTACCACCAATGGGTTGTCGATCAGGAGGTAGAGGGACTAGCATCCAAGTCTTGTTCTTCATTAAAGCACCATTTTCTTCTAGCATTGCTTTATGCCAATGAGGTTGGTTTAGAGCTTCAACAACTGTTGATGGTTCAACAAGAAGCATGGAATGCATGGTTCAACAAGAGTTATATAATATAAATGTATTTATAATGTTGTTTATTTAAAAATTATTTTTAACATAAATTTATTATTTATTAAATAATTTTTTATTATAATTTTCTTTCAATATGACATTTAAAATAGCTAGTGAGATAAAAGGTTGTAGATCGAGTTAGAAAAAAATATTACTAAGTGGATCAAACATGCATGTTTATCACCACTAAAAAATATTTATACATTAAATAAAACTTAAATATATCATATTTAAAAATTAAATGTGAATTATAATATATATATATATATATATATATATATATATATATATATATATATATATATATACTATGCTCATGCATAAATTACTTATGCGTGTGCAAAGGATTTTGATAACAATAGGTCTTTTTATTTGTCACTTAAATTGTTTCCCTTGTTCTATTTTCATTTCTTTTATTTTGTACGACATGTTGATTCATACGTACATAACTTAGCATTAAACAAAACTTGTTAGGGAGGTCATAAATTTATATATATACTATTGTGTGAAAAATAAAGAAATTTAATATTTGATAAAGAAAAAAATAATATAAGGAACACCAGTAAATGAAAAACTTTAAATAATTAGAATTTCTTATTAAAATTTTTATAGGTATAATTTAATTATTATTGTTGCGTGATATCATTTTATAAATTAATCAAAATAGGAGTAATCATAGGTTACGACAAATAGGTTTAAATCAATTAAAATATAATGTTTAGTTTGAATCGGCTGAAGAAAACTTTTTTCAGTAATCTGAACCAAAATTAGGTTGATTCAAGTTGAGAAAATATATTATACACAGTTTAAAGGACAAGACATGAAATCCTAGGCTTTTCATTTTTCTTTTTTCTTTTTGGGGTCAAAATGAAGTCCTATAGGCTTGTAAAAGGTAAAGTTGAACCATACGAAGACAAAGTTGGCAAGTTAACTTAGGTAAATTGCAACCAGGCAAGGGATGGCAACTCGCCATAGTTTGCAAATTTCTATTTGTACCTTAAGGTTTGAGTAACAGTTCGTGTAAGGAGGAGTGTGACATTTAGAGTATATTTATTTTCTTTTTTTAAAATGTTTTTTAAATAAAAAATAATACAAATCTATACTGTATTTTATTTTTTTAAAATTTATTTTAAAAAGAAAAATTTATATTTTTTATTTGGTCAACCTGAACCTGATGTATAGATTTCAGTTGTTAGTAATACTCGTATATGAACAATATAAGTGTGGGCTTTGATGACTCTCGGTTGGAAGTTATCTTTTATGTTAGTAACAGGTTCTTATTAACCTGATATTATTAACTAAAATTTTTTAAAATTTTTTAAAATAATGTTTTTTTATATATAAGTAATATTAGTAACAAGCTCTTGTTAACACATTATTATTAACTAAAATTTATTAAAAATTTTAAAAATGATGTGAGAGACTCTTTTCATTTATAAATTAATATATTTTTTTTGTATTTTGTAGTTTTTAATATATTTTAATTAATAATAGCAAGTATGTTAGAAAGAGTGTTGTTAGTCTCTCTTGTTTTTCATCAATAATTAAGACTTAAGTTGAGTTTAATATATTTATTCGTTTAATTCGTATATAAAGATTAGTTGTATTTAAAAAAAATCCAATTTGAATTTAATCAAAGTGAACTTAACTTAAATTTTGGCTAACCCACAATAGGACAAGGTAGTTTATTTATTTATTAACGATTTAAAGTATTGCTACAATTTCTCTGCTTATATTCTTAGTCTTATTTACTCGGGTGACCTTTGGGTTTGTAACAAGATTTAACAAGACATAGGTTTACATGAAAAGACCGTGAGGTTGAAATATTGAGTTTGGATTAAAAATGCAACTTTTTTTATCAAATAAAATTGAATTTTAATTTTATAATTTTTTAAAAGGTAATCCTATGAGATGACTTGATCATTTGGTTCGATGTCTACTGAATTTGCAAAATTTTAACCCACAGGTAAAATAGTTTAGCCTAAAA